GCCTCAGATATAGCTTGCGAATAGAAACGAGCCAGGTGCTCGAATCTCATCGCATACTCAGAAACTATCATCTCTCCTTGGTGCAACCGCATGAATTCAGCTTCCTTGGCGTGCCTCACGCTCTCCAGGAAGTACTTCTCAAGAAACACCCCTCTAAAGCACTCCCAGTCAACAACAATTCCTCTAGCAGTAAGCATATGGTGAGTACCCCTCCACCAATGCCCCGCCTCTCTTACCAGCATGTAAACAGCATATGCCAGCCTCCTCTCCTGAGAAAATCTCAACACTATGAAGATTTTCTCTAGCTCACAGATCCAGTGGTCAGCTACCTCTGGGTCTGCATCCGGGCGCGCAGACCGCTGGTACTCTTTGGTTATGCCACGCGGGCACAACCATGAGTGTGCCGAGCGCGTATATGCTGTTTCCTTAGATGTTATTTTATGCTGAGCTGAGCTGTTATTGATGAATGTTAGTTATGATGAATTATAATATTGTTGTGTTGTAAGTTGTTTAGTTGTGCTATAAGACGATAATGTGTGCTGTAAGCTGTTTAGTCATGCTGTAAGTTGATATTACTGTAAGCTATGCTATGTCGTATGCTCATATAAGTTGTTGTAGGCCATAAGGCTGAGCTGTTATAGGCCGTAAGGCTGAGCTGTTGTAGGCCGTAAGGCTGAGTTGTTGTAGGAGATCTCCGAGCTGGTAAGCGTGACGACGCATTGTGTGCTTATTTCTGTGTATGCTGTATAATTGACGAGATGTATGCTAACGATGTGCTGATAGCTGTAGCTGTTAATAATTCATATATATGTTTTATATGTTGATTCTTTTCACTAGCTTACCCTTTTGTTGTTTCCATGTGTTTGGACTGTGATGATCATTCTTTGTATGGAAGCAGAGCAGGGTTAGGTTGGTGATTGAGGCAGGGTCGCAGCCAGAGGTAGAAAAATAGCTCTCTGGAGGTGCCACGCTAAGCGCCAATCCCACGCTTAGCCTCATAACTTAAACTTGAAAACTGGGAGTTCTCTCTGGAACTCCCACGCTAAGCGCCAATCCCACGCTTAGCCTTAGCCTGAGAGTTCCTTTTTCATTAAATGTTGTCACACTCTCTCTCCAGACACCTATTTCTTTCCCTCTACCACTCCTCACTCTCTCACAAACACTCTTAAACCCTAAGTCTCTTTCTTTGCTTCCTTGGCCGTGTTTCTCTTGGTGTGGGTAGGCTCCATTTTCTCTCTTCTTCATCAAAGGCGCGAAGGTAAGTTCATCTCCTCTAACCTTGTGTGGTTCCCCCCATTGTATGTTTCTTGGCTCCATTTCTATTTTTCCCCACTCATCTAATCCCCCTACCCATTTTCGTGCAAACCCTTGTATCCATGGTATTTTTGAGCTTATTTTCATGTTTGATGTTCCTTGATGATATTTGCACATTTGTGTTGGTATATTTGTGAATGGGTCTTCTTAAAACCCTTGGAAACCTTATTTTTGTGAATGCCCAGTACAAGATTCAAGTTATTTTGGTGTTCTTGGTGGTGGGTGAAGCCTTTTGGGGGCCAAAAGGGAAGCACATTGCTGCAACCCTCACGCTGAGCGTGGGCTGGGCGCTCAGCTTGTCTATGGAGTTAAAAAAAAAACCAGCTTGGTTGTTCATTGTTTTTCCTGATTTTGTGTCTTCCTAATTACATTCACTTATTTTGCTTTTGTAGCATGGCCAGGAGGCCATGATCAAGAGAAGGGGGGAGGTGATGCAGTTGTCGATGAAGAAGAGTCAGACGAGGCTGAAGATGATGAGGAGGAAGACTAAGCTGTTTCACTTTGAAAAACTGTTTTATTATTTTGTTCTGTTATTTGCTTCTGACTGTTTGGTTTTAATGCGTTTTGAAAATTGAAAAATCAATCCGATCTCCCCCTTCGGGCAGACCATAGGCTGAATAAGTGGCCTGAACCGATCAAGCACATCACCCTTTCAGCTAAAAGTGGGGCCGAACACCTCTTCGGCATTGGCCTAGGCCGAACACCCCCCGGCCCATAAGCAGAATACCTCCACCACCAAGGACAAGTATCCCTTAGGTGTCAAAACTGAGAGCACCCCCTCGGCCTTGGGAAAGGCCGAACACCCCTCGGTCTTGGGACTGGCCGAATACCCCTCGGTCTTGGGACAAGCCGAACATCCCTTCGTTCCTGAGATAGGCCGAGGAGGTCTCGGCCTTGGGAGAGGCCGAGCACCTTTTCGGCCTAGTACATGGCCGACAACGTCACGAAAGAGTGAAGGTCTGAGAATAATTACTTGTTATACGATAATTGCAGCTCTTAATTAGAAATGATTAAGGTTAACTACATATTACCCATCTCCCAAGAATGAAGGCTCACCGGGCCCACACATACCACTATAAATACACAGGTGATGTGACATAAATGAGGTATGTTACTATTCCTTATAAAGTATTTATTGCTCTGAACCAAACACTTACTTGATCGTCGGAGTGCCTTTGCAGGTACCCTCCCCACCTTTTGGAGATAGCATTCGGTCGGCACCGACAACTTAGAAGACCGTAAGGAAGGAGCAACAAGGAGTGTTTCTACGCAGGAACATTTTGGCGCCCACCGTGGGGTCGAAACCAGAACGGTTCTCGACCCTGAAGCAAAATGGTAATTACGAGAAGCCAGCAAGAGAACGCAACCACCGAGTACCCCTATGGGATGCCCCGAGACAATCCTAGGCGACAAGTTAACCACAACGAAGAAGGGGAGGAAGAACTGCACACAGCTCGGTCTCCACCTCCCGATCCGTCCTCGGCCATTGAGCAGTTGAAGGCTGAAATGATGGAACTTAGGAGGCTGCGAGAGAGAGATGCTCACGAGTTATCAGTCCTGAGAAGGGAAAACGCTGAGCTCAGGAGTGACAACCGGTCTTGGCACCCATCTCATGATCTCCCCAATACCCAATCAACAAGGGATCATGGGGAATCGTCAGGATGGTACAAAGAAACAAGGGACCTTAAGCCCCCCGCGGGAGCAACAACCACTACGCTCGATCAGCAGCGACGACAAGGAAGAACCCCGTTTACCCCGGATGTTGCTGGAGCGCGCCTACCAGACAATTGGAAAAACATGACCTTGGAGAAATTTGACGGAACCACCGACCCTGAGGAACATCTCGATGCATTCGTAACCCAAATCAGTCTATACACGGACGACGAAGCGATCATGTGCAAAGTCTTCCCCACCTCACTAAGGGGACCAGCTCTTAATTGGTTCACAAGGCTTCCGCCCGGGTCGGTTGATTCATTCACAACCTTATCATCCCGTTTTGTGATACAGTTCGCCACGAGCCGTCCTCATCAACTTACGTCAATCGCTTTGATCAACATACGCCAAGAAAAGAAAGAGTCTCTAAGAACTTTCATGGAGAGGTTCGGAAAGATGACCCTATCCATCCGCAACCTGGACCCGGCTGTGGCAATGCATCACCTGACCACAGCGTTACGAGGGTTTTAACCTAAGATTTGTGTGGATTATGAATGTGAATATGATTGTGGTTCCTCACACTAATGACCAGGGATGACACGACCCTTGGGTAAGTGATGCTACAAGGACGGCGTGACCTTGGCATAGTGTGGGATGTGTGAGGCAATTAACACGTATCACTTATGTCAGATGTGGCGTGGCCTTGACATAGTGTTAATTGCAAGATTTGTGATGAATTAGTGTAATTGTGAATTGTGATGTGAAGTTGATGTATGATTGATAGAATTAGGACATATAGAGAGGGTTGTAAATATTTCATTAAGTGATGAGTTATGATGAGATTATGTTGTATTTTTGAAGACATATGATTACATTCATATATTTTTCTTTCTGCCAACCATACTAGTCAAATTGTAAATTTATTTCCACTATTAATGTAATTATTGTAATAGAGGTGGAAAAAATGAAAAATGTGTAAAATAGTAAATATTTTTAAATATTTTTATAATGATATGTAATGTAATAAGTTCACAAAATTTTCTTTGTCCTTGTCAAAAATATTATTAATGATATAATTGTGATAATATCATATAAGAAAAATATATTTATTATTATATAAATCGGGTGTTACATGTGGCGTGGCCTTGACATAGTGTTAATTGTAAGAGGAGACGATACTCATACTTTCATTGAACTACGTATACGATTGGTACACTTGCCAAACGACATAACAGTTATTTAGGTTGTAACCAGATTGTTGTAGATTTGGAAGACCAATAAAAAAAATTTCCTTCACTTGCGTTTTTGGTGTTTTTGCTTACACAAAAATGTCATCTAAGTTATGTAGTGCACTGTTGAGTTTTCATTAAGGTTAGTTTTTCTTCCTGTGAAATGTATTTAAATCTCTAACCACGGACTCAAAAATGCGATAAGTGCACCAGTCGTTCAAGTAATATATATATATGTGTGTGTGTGTGTGTGTGTGATCGTACCCACATGGACTAGATGAGGTAAAATAAGTATTTAATGACTATTAGTGACTAAAGAACAATTCCATCATAATTCATGATGCATATGGAAATAAATATTCTAAACTACTTTAAAACTACTTTTAAGAGATAATTTGTGTGTGTGGAAGAGATAAGAAATGATCGTATGAAAGTGTGAAATTGTGGCAGTTAGACTTCATTGAACTACACTCTTATGAATCAATTCTTATTTTTTTCAAACATTGTTTAGTCAACCCATAAGTATACTCAAGCCTAATTCCTTAGAGAAAGAGCCTAGGAACATATATTACATATCAATTCCTTGAATATCTAATACATGAACCCACATTAAGGACTAGGGTTTGAGACTACTAATGGGTCAAGCTTCATTCCTAGATACAATTTTCATTAAGTATTTTGTTTCAAAGCTAGTTTTAAGGGTTATTTTCTAACATCCAATGAATCCTATATCAAGCAATGGGAGATTAGTCCAAAGCAAGCATTAAAAATAGAAACACAATACAATAATGACTGAAATAAACATTTATCATTAATACGATAGTTAACACACAAGAGTTTAGTTGCTTACATCTAACCCCAGAAGAAATGGGTACAACCACACAAAACTATGAGAGCAAAACAAAAATAGAGATAGAAGAGAGGATGGAAAAATCGAAGGAGTGGCCCACACACAGCACGGTCCTAAGTACTAAGAATCCATTCCACAACTCCTAGAAGTCGTTCCTTGTGTGAATGAGGGGAAAACCCTCGAAAATGTGTTCAAATATAAGTTGGATGAGTCAGGGCAGGTTTTACACGCCCAACGTGATATAACTTCACCCCGGCGCAATAGTCTTTCAGAGAGTGATACTCTCTGTCTTGAGCATGCCCAACGCAATCAAGTACAAGCTCGATGCAAAGTGTTTTCTCCTACTCCTTAGCTCTTCATTTTTGGCTCTTTCAAGTTCCAATCCCATGGATCCTCAACATCAAACTCTTTTACTAAATACCTACACAAAAAAATGAGGTGTATCAAGGTATTGCTAGATGATTTTTTAGTTAACTATATATGCACAAAAATTGAATCAAAAGAGAAAAAATATTATGCAGGATGGAATGAAGGAGTTGAATTTGTTCCATAATTAGTATCAAAAAGTAAGTAGAAACGGGACTTAACATGCACCAACCATTTTGCATTGTTATATGCTTGCCATTTTCTCAAACTTGGTGGAAAAATGCATAGAACTATTTATGGATGAGTTCTCAATTTTTGGCTCTTCATTTGATTCTTGCTTGGATAATCTAGACACCGTACTAAAGCAGTGTGTTAAACTAATTTGGTGCTCAATTGGGAGACATATAACTTCATGGTGATTGAAGGTATTGGCTTAGGCCATAAAATCTCTTGTAGGGGGATTGAAGTTGATAGAGCAAAAGTGGAAATCATTGAAAAGCTACCTCCACCAGTTAACATCAAGGGAATCAAAAGTTTCTTAGGGCATGATGTCTTCTAAAGGAGATTCATCAAGGATTTCTCCAAGATTGCAAAAAACTTATTTTTTTTGCACCTGTAATCACTGCTAACTAACAATATGGTTTTGAGCTTGTGTGATGCCAATGATTATGTCGTAGGAGCAATGTTGGGGCAAAAGAAGGAAAAGATTTTTCATGTGATACATTATGCAAGTTTTGAATGAAACTCAAATCAATTATGCTATAACCGAAAAAGAATTACTTGTCATAGTATATGCACTTGAAAATTTTAGATCTTATTTGATTGGTTCCAAAGTTATTATTTTCACTAATCATGTTGTAATTAAATATTTCTTGACTAAATTTAATTCCAAGCCTAGACTCATAAGATGGATACTTTTGTTGCATGAATTTGATTTAGAAATCAAGGATAAGAAAAGAAAGGTTATGAAAATTATGTGGCAAACCATTTATCTAAACTAGTGAATAATGAGGTGACCGCACTTGAACTAGAGGTGCTAGTACAATTTCTAGGTGAAAAACTAATAGCAATCCAAGAAAGGCCATAGTTTGTGGACATGGAAAATTTTAAAGTTGTTGGAATTATTCCTGAAAATTTCAATTGACACCAAAGGAAAAATTTCTTCAAGGATTCTAGTTATTATGTGTAGGATGATCCTCACTTGTTCAAAATTGGAGTTGACAATTTGTTAAGGAGATGTGTCACAAAAGAGGAAGCTAATAACATTCTATGGCATTGTCATAATTCACCATATGGAGGTCATTTTAATGGAGAGAGGACTACTGCAAAAAGTCCTCCAATCTGGGCTATTTTGGCCAACATTGTTCGATGATGCTAATGAGTATGTTCATAGATGTGATAGTTGCCAAAGAACAGCAAACATCTCCAAGATACATGAAATGCCATTACAAAACATTCAAGAGGTTGAAGTCTTTGACTGTTGAGGAATTGATTTCATTGGACCTCTGTCATCTTCGTTTTCCAATGAATACATCTTATTAGTAGTTAAATATGTATCTAGATGAGTTGAAGCAATTCCAGCACCAAAGGCTAACTAAAACGTGATCATATTCCTCAATAAAAATATTCTTTATAAGTTGGGCACTTATAGAGTCTTAATTAATGAATGCCCCCACTTTTGCAATGCCCAACTTAAAAAGGTTTTAGAGCATTAAGGCGTTAAGCATAATGTGGAAACAACATATCAACCATAGACCAATGGTTAAATAGAGGTTTCTAATAGGGGAGATTAAGAAAATCTTAGAGAAAATAGTTGCCTCTTCTAGGAAAGATTGGTCAAGCAAGTTTGATGAGGCTTTTTGGGCCTATAGGACTACTTATAAGACTCCTACATCTCTCTCACCATTCCAACTGATTTATGGAAAATCATGTCACCTTTTTGTTGAGTTTGAACCTAAGGTTTTTTAGGCCTTGGAAATCTTGTTTTGATCCAAAAGTTGTTGGTTAGAAAAGAAAGTTGCAGCTCTATAAGTTGGAAGAAATGAGACCCAATGCCTGCCAATACTCAAATAGTATAAGGAGCGTGTCAAGACCTACCATGACAAGAAAATCTTGAAGAAAAGGTTCCAACCAAGCCAATTTGTACTTCTATTAAATTCCAGGTTGAGATTGTTCACTAGAAAGCTCAAATTCAAGTGATTTGGCCCATTTGTCATTAAAAAGTTAAGCCTTGTGGAGTTATTTAGATTGAAGATCCTTTTTCCAAGAGAAGTTGGCTTGTAAATGGGAAAAGTTTGAAACCATATTTGGGCAATAATTTTGAAAGGATCATTATTGTGTTTAATTTGGAAGATCTAAATGATCTAGGACCGTTAGGCTCATGGCATTATACAAGTGCTTCCTAAGAGGCAATCCAATGCCTAAAATTTTACTCCTAAAATGTTTCTTGTTTTTGTAATATTTCATGTTTACGTGCACATTTTTCTCTATGATAGTTATTAGTTACATGTGTAAATGGTGATTAGTGTTTGTGCAGGATTTTGTATTTTGTGTAAGGAGTGTTTGTGCAGGATTTTGTATTTTGTGTAAGGAGTATGAAAGTTTAGGGGGGAGTTGTTTTCATGCAAGGGGACTTTTTCTATCCTATAAAAAAAAATAATCAATGCTTAAATAACGTTGGACGCAATTATTGTTACCTAAAAGTTCCTACACATAGTATTAACAACAAATAAAACTAATTTTTAAAAGATTCTACACATGTATTAACAACAAATGAAAAACTATATAAACTATATAAATAACCAAATTTAATAAATAAATTACAAAACCAACATGTTTTTCTTTCAAACAAAACAAATGTTTTAAACTGCCAATAATATTATAGTCCAATATACCCGACAAATTAGAAACTACAAATTACAAAAATTTAAATTTAATATAATAATAAAATGTGACATCTTTAGAAGATGTTTGTACCCGTGACAACATCTAAACACGTGTCTCATGAAGAATTTTGAAAACATTTCATTCTATAACAATTTGTTTCCTAGTGAAATATTCATAAATGGTTAAGTCTCTCAATCATGTCACAATGGCCAAAATAATTTATTTTGATAAATATCTTTTAAATAACTTACTTTAATAAAAAAAATTATTTATTTAAGTCAAAATATCAACATATAACGATTTAAAACAAGATTTGATTTGATTTTAAAACATTTTATTTATGGGATTTGACTTTAAAACGATAAAATAATAGAAATGACAACATTAAAAAATCTCATGAATTCATTACTTTAATTTTACAAATTTCAACAAATAATGTATAATAAGAAACTAGTTGATCTAAATTTAGTTTAATATATGCATCACCATATTACCCTTATTAACCTTATAATAAAATTAAACCAAATACATTTTTAATGAATCTCAAAATATATTGTATTTTTTTTATAGTTGGTTTCAAATATAAATTTGTTTTCTAAATACAATCAAAATAATCCAGATAAAAACATTAAAATATTCCTATCACAGTATATCATAAAATAAAACAAGAGATATGCTTGTAAAACAGATAAGACTAATTACAAATATTTTTCAATTATGTGCATGCTACAATAAAGACAGACCCCCATAACATAAGTTTATATACAACATATAAGACACTAATAAGTTAATAAGAATTAGGATTACATGCAAGATCAAACTGGTACAATAGAAGAGACTAATAAATATTGAAATTAGCATCAACAAAACGTTGACAACTCCATCAAGCAGCCTTTTCGCATACCACAAAACTACCCGGATTGATAGTAATGCTCTTTGTGCAATTATCAGTTTTATATATCCCAACAAGCCGATCAGCCAATTCAAACATATTGTTCCGAAGACTGCAGGAGAAACAAACATACCATGGCAAGTGTTAGCCTAGTTATTCAAATTTACTAATAAGAGAAATACTAACCACTTACTCTAACATTCTTTAGATGAACTTCTCTCAAACACTTTTAGGGAAAAAAATTAAAATAAACTTTTCTTGAGTTAAAACAAATTTATGGATAAGTTAAAAATAAAATTTTGGATAAGCTAATAGAAAAGAATTTTAACAAATTAACTTATGCATAAATTGATTTTAGTTTATCAAAAAATTTACTCTATTTTTCTCTCATAAAAGTGTTTCTAAAGAAGTTTACCTAAACATACTTTAGGTGAATTTTATTGGGAAAAAAAAATTGTAAATCCCCCTTCTTATTTAATTAGTATCACTTGTTTTTTTTTTTTTAAATTTCAATAAATTTTAAATGTTAAAAAAAAGTTCTGCAAGCACTCCTTACTAATAATAATACGGGCAAAGCAAATACATTCGTGGGGTACCAGGCCTACCTAATGATTATGAATTGAGCGTCCTTGGTCCTGTCTTTCACGTAATGCCCCACGATAGATACATTCTTGAAGTCTGCCAAACCATATAACACAGGAGTTTAATGTATTGCAAACCTATGATATAGCATTTACAATAAAAGAATATAGCTATAAATTTAACAGTAAGTACCAAGGGCAGCATCAATTTCATCCATTACATAAAGTGGGGTGGGTTTGTAATGATGAAGGGCGAATACAAGAGCCAACGAGCTAAGAGTCTGCATAATAAATAACAAAAACATGTAACTGAATTTGAAAGAAGAAAGAGATCACGGTTTCCATGAAGGCATTTTAACATTTTTTGCATGTTTAAGAAAATGATTAAACAAAAGCAGCATCATGCTCATGCAAGTTCCACCCAGAAAATAGAATTCTTGCTTGTATACAATGATTTGCAATGCAAAAATTGATGCCAACGGAAAGAAAAAGGCTAACAAAAAGCTGAGAAACCTTTTCACCACCGGATAAATTTGCAATGTTTTTCCAGCTTTTCTTTGGTGGTCTGACACTGAACACAACACCTTCAGAGAAAGGATCTAAAGAATCCACAAGCTCAAGTTCAGCATCACCTCCAAGGGTAATCATCTGCAAACGATAAAAGTTCTTATACATGTTAATGATCGCAAGCCTATGCAATACAACTGAAATACAGTGCAACTAGGACTGAATACTTTTAATTGTTTTCACAAAATAATCAAAAGTGTCATCTTATTTTTATTTTCATAATTCATTCACGAAATAGAGAAAACAATCTTTTTATTGTTTCTTATACAAATATTTAAAAATAGGAAACAAAGTAATATTATTGTAATTATTTATGAAGAACAATAAACGAAATATAGAATATTTTCTCAAATAAAAAAACAAAACTAAATGGAAAAAGAAAATAGAGAAGGAGCACTATAATTTACTAAGAAGACTCTGAATACTTGTAAGCATATCACTGACACACCTCCATCCATAGTAAATTATTATTACAAGACATTTAAAATCTTTTACTCTGAATGCACCGCAAGTTTCAGTTAAGTTGCTTGTTTCCAAATGATTTAAGTTACAATCTCATTTACCAACAGCACTATCACCCTTTGACAGCTTTTTTAACTACACTTAACAAAATAAACGTCAAAGATAAACTAATCACAACTTTTAACGGGCTCTACAAACCATGACTTCCAATTACAATTTACAAAACAGTATTACAGTTTATGAAAACGAAAAAAATTATGGAGAGAAGGATGCACCTAAGAAAAATTAGGTAGCTGTGAAAAGGACAATAGGCAATGGAAGGCACCAGTGTAAAGAGGCACAACAGGAAAGGAATGGTAACCACTAGGAGAGAAGCTCCTAAGAACAATCTAACATCGTTGTGAGACATTCTCCAATGGTTTAAGACAATGGAGACTGTAAAACAGCATATTTTAGAAGTAGCAACTTACAAGTGCTGGCATATCTTCAGAAGGAAACACAAATAACAGATGGTTCATGGCACTACGGGCCTATGGCAGGGTTGAATCCATGTCAAGAATAGTGGCCTTTTTTCAAATATTTCTGCTAATTATATAGTGAATTCACTCCGCTAAGCTCTAGCAAATGTACATTGCTGCCACATACTACCTATTTGTGATTAATATTTAAACTCACTCTTAAACATATAAATTTAGAGAAATTAGTAATTTATGCCCAAAAATCTTTACACATCTGCCTGCAGACTCTGCACAAAAAGATTAGCCCCTTAAAAATAAAAAATATTTTGGTTCAACACCATTAGGGGTGTAGTTTGGTTTTTTAAAAAAACCGCACCAAACTGTACCACACTATTTTAATAAAATAAACTGGTTTACAAATTATGTGAACCACTTTAACAAATCAGTTTAAAACTGAATTACTTTAATAAACAATTTTATAATCGTTTTAAAACCAGTTTCATAATCAAACCAGTTTTTGAACCGGTTTTAAGAAATAAACCAGTTTTAAATAAATTGTTAATATGTTTTAAGAAATATATGGGGCCAAAGAAATATATGGGTCTGCCAGAGGATCATAATGAACAAAAGAGCATTCGCAAAGCAACAAAATGTAAGAAACTCCTCCTAAGACATCCTCTGAGCAGCGAAAGATAGAGTGAGTGTGAGAGTTCCATCTCCGAGTCCGAGCGAGCGAGCCATATTGCTATAATCCAAATATATTAGTAAACCAAACCTTTAAAAAAATAGGTTCAGAGTTCAGTTTTTTCGTTTTATTTTAAAAAAATAAATCTGGTTCAGTTTTATTATAATTGGTTCTAGTTTTTTTAAAATGGTTCGGTCTAGTTTTAAATTCAGTTCAGTTTTTTTAATTTTTTTGAACACCCCTAAACACCATTTTAAAACCATCAATGCAAAATATTATTGACAACTTAGCATCCAGAGTCACACCAAGTTGCCAACAAGTTGGTCTGAAGGTTTTAAGAAAGGTGACAAAATCCATAACAAGTTGAAATATCAGCAAATATACAGGAGAGTGAAGCACATATTCATGCGTCAACGAAAGAGAGCACTTAGAGAGAGATCAAATTCCCAAACCTGATACATTTCCTTTAACTTTAAAGATATGGCATTAAATCCTTCCATAAACTCATCCAATCTGCCATGACACATTCAGCTAACATTTCATCAAAAAGCAATACATAAAATAAATTCAACAATAAAAACGAAAAATATTATGCACACCTCTTCTTTCTCCATTCATCATACTGCTTCTTTATGTCATCCCGCTCTTGAGTGACTGCATTAAGTTCTTCAACTCGCTCATTGTACAAAGATACCTTCTTTCGATATCTGATAATCACAAGAAATTATGAATCTTTATTACTGCAAGAAGAGAAATATAAAAATAATCAGGGTAATAAATAAGAAAAACTTACTCTGAAATTGAATCAAGATTTGGATTCATCTCCTTCAGTTGTGCTTCAAGCAGAGCGACCATTTCACAGGCCTTTTTCAGGTCACAATCAGCATTAAGATGCTCATCAGCCAAAGTAGCTTGTAGCTTTTCTTGATCCACTAGATCTGCCTGAATTCTGCATACCATTTACAATCTTATAAGAACATCAGAATAATAAACACTATTCCAAAACAGAAATCTAATGACATACTGTTCAAGATGCTTGTAAATAGCAGTTTGCAATTCATCTAGTCTTTTCTTGTAACCTTTCTCCTTCATTTCCAATTCTTTGTATGCTTTCTTCATGTCTTTTAATTTAAAGTCAGCATCAACCTACAAAATAATTATTGCAATGAGAAAACTCCAAGTTTTATGAGACATGAAAAACGAATAACTAGTACCTCAGATGCACGTAATTCATCCATTGCTTTTTTCATCTTATTGTACTCAGATTTTGCTTCCTCAGAGACAATCATATGTTTTTCAATCATCTGAACAGTAAAAAAATTAGACATAACCATACAACAACCAGGTTGTATACATAACTTTAAAAAGGTGCATTGCACTATACATTTTTAATGTATTTCATTACATAGGCACAAATTTTAATAATCAAAAACAAGGCAATAAAAAGAACCTCTTGGGTTTTTTTATAATTCTCTTGAACTGCAAATGCTTTCTGTTCTATTTCTTTAAAGGATGCTGATAACTTCTCCTTTTGCTCAATGAGCCGGTCTTTCTCCTTCTTTGAATCCTCGATTCCTTTAGTTAATTTTTTCACCATCTTTTGTCCCGTCTCTATTTGGACCTTGTGACGGTTTATTTCTGAATTGTTCTTATCAATATCCTAGGAAAAGGAACCATTAGTACATACGCAATTCACAATATCAACTATAAATGAATGTTCTTAACATTCGAGATGCTTACAGACTGAATTTTCTGGACCTTTGACTTCTGAGATTTTAATTTTTCACCCCCAACATTTTCTAAATTTCGCTGGAGCTCCAAAGCCTGGGAGTGGCAAACATTAATTAAACTATCAAAGTTAAATATATAACCTGTATTTTCAACATCCATCCACCTTGAGAAATAAAATAAATGCAAAAACCTGTCAGGCAACCCTCAATTTGAAAAGGAATTAAAAGATAATGAAGTTCCAAGACAACCTTTTCCTTCAGTTGTTTAGATCCATTAGTAAGTCTATTAATCTCCTTTTCTTCTGCAGAAACAATCTTCTTCAGCTCTTTCAATCTGTCAAGCTCATCCTCCTGTGGTGTTGATGCTGCCTCAAGGGAATCAAGTTGTTTCTCAATATAATTATATTGTGAATTTAAACTGTCAACCTACAGAGGAAGAGGAAAAAAAGTCTCAATGCCGTGCATCAGCAACTCCAAAACCACCTTTCAAAACCAAGCATTACCTCCTTCTGACATTTAGCTAATTCCATTTCTAAAGCGGCAACAGCTTTTTCTGAGGCCTGATAACGTTGCGCAGCAGCCATAATTCTTTGGCGAATGTCATTCAATTTATCAGTCAACCTAGACAACTCTTTCTCAGCATTTGCAACACTTTCTACAGACACACTTGCTGCTCGAATAGATGTTCCCATCTTCCCACCACGGGGCTTACTACCCCCACCACTCATTGTTCCAGATTTTTCAAAGAGCGCACCATCAAGAGTAACAACTCGACGAAACTCATTGTTACCACCATATGCTATACGTGTTGCCTAAATTTTACAGGAGTAAAAAAATGTTACTATTTAACCATTTAACTTCACTGATATGAACAACTGCAAATGCAACAACCCTAGACTCTATATTATTGCAACTTGCAAGCAAATGGTAAATAAGTTAAGTCTCATAATTTAATTAATGTGCCTTTGTTTCTTAAACAATGCAGATAATAGGCATCATGTTATAAGTATCAAAAGTTCTAAACAAAATTATCAAACAAAATTTGCTTATCAAACAATTCTTAACCTTGCGCATGATGATTTTCATATCTGAAAAATACCATTATGGTGAATCCTTAATATATCATCAAAATGGAGTATCATGCTACAAAAGTGCAACTGACCTGATCAAGATCTTTAGCAACCACAGTGTTTCTAAGTGCTGCAAAGAAAGCAAGCTTCATTCTTTCATCTTGAACTTTCACTAAATCAAAAAGGCGTGGAACCCCCTCTGGAGTGCTCACATTCTTTCTCAACATTGGAAGAAGGTCAACTTGCTTCTCCTAAATAAAGAAATGATATCCAAATTATATTTATCAAATAAACACCTTGGTTGCGTACTATCAGCACACCAAAAACATTACATAACCGAATATATCATCAATCATTGACAAACAAATTGTATTCAATCAAGGGCATTATATTATAAACTGAAACTTGACAGAATCTAGCTTGCTTTCACTCCCCAACTTTGATTTAAAAAGATGCTACCCAGGAGTAGACCACCTCCAAACCAATATAAAATTGCTATTAACACCATGTTCTTAAATTCAAGTAGTTCAAAACTGTTGACCAACTGTGACAAAAACTTGAGCTGTTAGTAGGAAGTTAAGGAGTGATTTTACCATTAAGAGACAAAAAATAAATTGAATAATATAAAAATAAATAAATAAATAAATAAAATACCAATATCATGAAAGTAGCAACGCCAAGATTCTCTCTACGCAGTAACTCAACACATGCTTGAGCTGCATTTGTTGTTTCCACCACAATATAATCAAGTCCAGGACATGCTGTTGATATTGCAACATCATACTTTGCTGCAATGATTTATAAGAAGTTAATCTAACAGATTCCTGGAATGATAAAGATAAATTTAACAGTATTAATCTAATGTAAATTATTTAATATCATTCTAAGAGCAAAATAATAGTACCAAGAAAAATTGGATCGTGTTAACTAATAATAATAAACACAGAAGAAACCACAGATCCCTTTTTTTTTTTCCATGAAGTACCAAGTTTGCCTTTGCCATTAACTGTAATTCTTGCTTGATAGCTATAATCATGACCATCAAGAAATATAAACTTAGACCCAAGACTAGAAAGAATGCTGCTGGAAGCATTAAACACATAATGGATTTAATAATGACTATAGGAATGTCAAATATTGATAACAGATATATTACAAACATATTCTATTAATTTATGTCTGGATATTAGAATATGCTTATTATATATGATTTATGAGGTAGGTATTTACGTTTATGAGATGAGATTCCTCCCCACAAATTTACTTACGCTCAAACAAGAACCAAATAATGAATAGGATAAAGTACAATCCTAGCTTTTAGCCAGTAGTTCAAAACTTGCACAATAAAAGATATAATTGTTTATTGAATATTTCATAGTGATAGTGCAAAGTGTGAACATAAATTTTAATATCAGATACAATCATGACCATCCAAAACCACATTTTCTGACCATTTTTGCGGCATTCAAGAGGTATAATTTGGAAAGTAAAGAACTTTATGAAGCCAGAAAAATTGCAATTGGAAAACCTCACCATCAATAGCACCTAAATCACCCATGCGGCCATATATTCCTTCTATTTGTCTTGTTTCCTTAGCTTTCAGAATTGCCTTTAGAACTGATCCCTGACTCTTCTCAGAATCTAGAACAGACTTCAGTTCTGCAACCTTCTGTCTAGCACTTTGTTCAAGAGGAATCAATTCATCTTGCTCTTTGATACATCCCTTTAAAAAGAACAATCACGTCACCACAAGCCACAAAAATGAATGTTAAAGAAATGGAATTAAGAATAAGAAGGAAAAATTGCTTACTTCTTCAATTTGGTGAGCTTCTGAAGCTTCATGCTTACTCTTTTCTATATCACTCTTGATTTGAGAAATGCTGGCAGTTTTCGATTTGATTGTTTCTGATATGCTTTTCATCTGCTTTTGAGCATCTTTAAAAGCTTCAGAAGCACCTTCATGCTGCAAATTAGATCAAGAATAGTCCTCTATTAAACATCCAGCTACTGGAGAATTAAATGGATTCTACTCTACATTAGTATGGTAATTCACTATAAATAAAGAGTGCATCCCCTAATAATCCTGAGCATGCATGTCAGAAAGATACCCTTTTATTTAAAATGAAGGAGAAACTTTGGTTTGAGTTACTAGTTTGCTACGTATTTCATTTTTATAAGTTTAACCTTTTTATTCTGGATTGTTGCATATTAGGGTAAACTACTATAGCTGGAAGAAACTAACATATCTTCCATAATTACCATAATTAATGAAACTAATATGGATTAACTAATATTTGTTTTGAAAATATGTAGAAATTTTCAGGAGCAAAGATTAAATTACTGCCTTTAAAGCTGAGACTGAGAGCAATAGCACTTAAAAGTAAGAGAAGTCATTCTCACCTTTTCATTTAGAAGCTTGGTCTCTGTACATGCAACTTCAAGTTTTCCCTTGTGCTCAATCAAATCTTTTTCCCAAGGTTCAAGCTCAGCACGAACTTTAGCAAGCTCAGAACGGTATTTCTCGGTTTCAACTGCTTACCAGTCAATGACAGGATTAACCAAACAAAAAAACTTAAAGAAAGTAGCTAAAAAAAACCTCTTTCACATGGGATATCAGATCCATTTGTGAACATGGTAGATAATAGTTAAACAAATAAAGACCAGCTTCCACCACCAAAAACACTGAAAATCAGCATGATGTATCCCAGACAATAACAAAAAGAAAAATAATTTGGACCTTGGGGGATAATTATACACAGTTGACTAAAAAAATGGCAGATTATATTAAGAAAGCTGTATAAAACCAATATGATACAATATTGAAAATTTAAATTTATCTACCTATAGCTATAAGTATCTAACACAGTAATGAAGTTTCTTAAATCTGAAGCAGCAGAAAGCCATGACTTTCTACTAAGTATTAGAATAAGGAACCTAACTAAACTAAGCATTTTAATGGTAAAATAGAGGAAAATCAAATGTTGGAAGCACGCTTAAGAATTAAAAGTTTTAAAGAGGTTTTAACTAAAGCAAACAATTGGAGATGAATCACCACTTCAGCAAAGCAAATTTAATTAAAAATACCTTCAAATATATTCAAAATAAAAAATAATAAAATAATAATTAAAAAAAATAAAAAGACACTACCTTTGGAACTCTCTGTGATTTCTTCCAAGACCTTCTCCTCATCAAGCAACAACTTTTGCAGTTTTGGGATATTGTCCTCAAGTTTTGGTATCAGATCAGTTGATTCCTCGCCCTCTTTTACAAGTGCTTCAATTTTTGATGAATCCTGACATAGAAACAAAAGGATAAGATGTCTCTTTACACATACATTTAGTTGCAATATACTATGACTTCCCTCTACCTTTTCTAGTTTATCCTCCAGCTTTTTGATCTTCTGATTCACGTGCTTAAAATCCTCCCGATATTTAACATCCTGCCTCTCAAACTCCTTGAACTCTTCCTTGCACTTCCTCATATCATTATCTAACTCCTATTTTATGAAAATGAAAGAAAAAAAAATGACTAAATTACTACCTTGAAAGCTTATCATTAGAATAAAATGCCCAACAATATAATCATGCAAACTGATTCAATTTCAAAACCCAGGTCATCCAAACCTCTTGTCTTTTCACATAATTGTTGTGCTTAGTTTCAAGCTCTTTGAGAGTTTGTTTACTTTCTTGTATTTTATCCCTGGAATAAAGATATCACAGTTCTTCATGAGGCAAGAATAGAAATTCACTAAATAAACAAATATATTCCCCATTGAAATTCAAATTTACCTTTCTGCCTTGAGATTTTCTTCTAGAGTAGCAACATTCCCTTGTAACTCATCCGTTTTTCCACTCGTATCATCAAGGGCCAACTTTGTGGCTTTCTCTTGCCATTTCAACAGAGACAACTCCTTGAGCATGTATGCTTCTGCTTCATTCTTCACATCCTGCAGCAAAAGAACTGTTAGGTGTTGGACAAACATCAAATGCTACATAAAACCATAAATGATAAATCTACTTGCCTCCAAGCTGTCTCTTTCTTTCTCAGATAGCTTAACCATTTGTACCACCCCAGATCTTTTCTCATTCAGGGATTCTAACCTAAAACCTCAATAACATTGTTTCATAAATTAGAAATTCAAATTTTGAAATTAAAGTAGTTACTTCAACAATGAGCTTAAAAAATGTGAATTATCCTCCAGGCAGCAGCAGTATTTATAAAGAATAGTTACAATAAAAGAAACATTAATTGAGCATGTTTGGATTTGCTTAGAGTGCATTTAGATTTGCTTATTCCCAAAACAACCTATATGCAAGCTTCCTAAGAAAGCTTTAAACAAATATAAAATAATCAAAGCTGGGAAGAATTGCTGTCTTTAATCAAAAGCCTTCTTAATATGGTTTTGATTATAAGCTATTTTGAAAATAAATAAATAGTTCATTAAAACACATTAAATACTTAATTATAATCAAATAAAAAAAATACACTACTACTGCAACAAAAGGTTTCATAATGTTGATTGAAAAAGTTGCATGTTTTCTTTTCTCAGACATGAAATGGAAAGATTGAGTGTCCTAGGATGGTATTTGAATATAGATATTTTAGATTTTCTAACTTTAACATGTCTGGATCTTGTATTGGCTACTTTTAGGGGTTTAGGGGTTTAGATTTTTATTTTTTATGATATAAGAATTTTTTTAAAAAAAAATTAGAAATTAATTTTGTCTCACTTATTTGATTGGTAAAAAAAAGTAGAAAGAGTGCTAACAGTTTATGAGATTCATCAATCTTTTCCACATATTTGTTGGTTCCAATGATATCTTCTAGATATTCTAGAAAACCTTCATCGTGAGGTCCTTGAGCTTTGGGTTTCATAAGTGAAATCTGTTCAACTTCACCCTGATAAGAAACAGATAATACGTCAAAAGAGGTGGATACAAACACTTCTGGAGAAACTTGAAAGAACCATCTAACAAATACCGAACCTGAAGTATTAGAAACCTATTATTGTCAAGGTCAACACCTTTCCCTTTCAGTTTCTTGGTTACTTCCGTAAAGTTACTCGTGCGATCATTAATGTAATACTTTGAGGAGTTATCACGGAAAGCCACTCTGGTAATCACAAAATCACTTCCTGGAACAGCCTCATAAGTTCCATCATCCTGCAACCATTGATACTTTTAGTTCTTTCTTTTCTTTTTTCTTTAAGCAAAGATAAAAATGGAGAAATAATGAGAAGGTCGGTTCATAAAACCGCAAATATAAAAACTCTTTAGTCACTGAGGCATAAAGATCAACTTAAAAACAAGCTCATAACAGAAAATCCAAAGTAAGAAAAAGAAAAATCAACCGAAACCTAGTAAGGATAATGTACTCTTTTGAATCATTTCTAGCGCCTTTAGTTTGTTCTTTATTTTCATTTTCGGTTGATATGTTTTCAAGGCAGCGCTTTTCACTTTGTAAATTCTTGAAAACAAGAAACAAAGCTATAAAAGAATGCATTTTCATAATTATTATAAAAACACATACATATCAACAAAATAAAATAGAAAACAAATAAATAAAAGCCCAAACACATCCTAAACTTTTCAGTTAAAAAAAACAGCAAATTGACTAGCTTAATCATCAACTTCTCAAGACAGCACTTTTCACTCTGTAAATTCCCGAAAACAAGAGACTTAAGAAAGATGTAATTTTTGTAATTATCATTATAAACAAGGTTTCAAATGCAACATCAAGATTTTGGGGTCTCCACGACTTAATCCCAACTGCAATTGGAGCCACATTTGTCCACAATTTCACGCAATGTCAAGGATTGCAACTGTGACCGTGACTGCAATTTAAAACTTTGATTTTATAAACATATCCTCAAACTCAAGCAGCAAGCATCACATTTTCGGTCTAAACAAAACAGCAAGCATCAAACATCAAACCAGATTCACATAATAAGAAGAAGAAAAAAAAAAAAAGCTACCAAATCCACAATCTCTTGAAAATGAACAGACACCCCCGCACTATCCAAATTCTGGTGATTGGTGGAATTGTGTATTAGCTCCGAAACTTTGTTCAGCCGCATCTGCAAGAACCAAAACCAGTTTCCAAATCAAAACAATCCAATTCCAAACACCGGTTAGTTTCTAGAACATTCCAGAACCGCACCTGCTTGGCTCGCTTCCCAAACACAAACAGCATCGCGTCAATGACGTTGCTCTTCCCGCTCCCGTTGGGTCCCACCACAGCGGAGAAACTCTGAAATCAAAGCAATTCGAAGCTCGGAAGTGAAACTAAATCGATTCTCGGAAGTGAAATTAAAGCGATTCGAAGTTGGGATGAGAAAATTGAAGTGCGAGAGAAAACCTAAACCCTAACCTTGTGGAAGGGACCGACGCGCTGTTCGCCGGCGTAGGACTTGAAGTTGCGCATGACCATCTCCTTTATGAAGAGCCTGGGGCGAGAGGAGCCGCGAGTTGCTGAGTCGGGTGCGGACTCGGCGTGCGGGTCCATTGGCGCCGGAACGAGTCGACTCGGAGGGGAAAAGGGTGGAACTTGGAGAAGAGAAGAGAAGCGAGTGGGTGTAGATTGGAATTTGGAAAATCAAAAGAGAGAAGGGCGTTGGCGGGAAATAAATTGCCCACTCTATTCAAATTGCCAATTACTGTGCCCTATTTCGTCACGCAATAAATTAGAGACTTTGACTTCGATGTCTTGTTTGCTAAAGGGAAAATGAAGAGAAATAGAACAGAAAATGAAAATATTTGAAAATAAAATTAGTTGTTTGATTGAGAAGAAATAAGGGTATGCAAAATTATAAAGTAGTGGAGTTTTTTTTCTTCTTTTATACATACTTTATTCTCATCAAGGTGAAAAGTGGCATTTTTGGTATAAATCTTTGACTATAGTTTAAAATAGTGTGGGGTGGGATGCTCCTTTTAGTTTAATGCTTTGATTTCTTTGTTTTTCTTTTTACTATATCAAAAAAACATATTTTATTTTTTTATATATATTTTATCTATTGTTTTCAATTGAATAATTAAATTTTTATTTTATTTTTTACTTATTTTTTATTTTTTTCCACTCTATTTCTTTCTTTTTTATCAACACTGAGTCTTCTCTTTACCTAGTTTTTATTTTAAGAATTTAAGTAATTATCCTTCTTTAATATAACCTAATTGTCATTGTTACATTGTATTTTTTTTTAGTACAGATAAATAAAGTTACTTCATCTTATTTGGTTAGTATTTTAAATTTTTCTTTATACAAATTAATGAAAAATTAATTAATAAATAAGTATAATAATTTTATAAAATTAATTTATTTTTTTTTCAAAAATACAATAACAACGTTCTATGTAATATTATTAGAAATATAAATAATAAAAAAAGTAATTAATATTTTAAAAATAAATAATCAAGGCATTGGTACAAAATATTTATTGCAAAAGAAAAAAGTAATTAGTCTCGTTTCTATCAAAGGATTTTTGATTAAAAAAATAAACAAAAATAACAGTAAAAATTCATCTAAAAAGCAACATCAAGCCAATGGCCTAGACACATGACACCTCTGTCAAAGATTATGAGCACACACAAAATAGGTATTTTCATTATCAACATATATAGTTTATTTCATATTCAATAACATTTAAACTATAAATAATTTGGCGGAGAAATATTAGTCACTACCCATTGATTAACCAATGTTGGTTATTGAAAACTTTAAATGACACCTATTTTATGATTTTTTTTCTTCTAATATGATACCTATTATAAAATAGGGAATAAATAAATAGACAAGAGAGAATAATAAATTTATAAAATTAATTTTATTGTCAATCTTTGTTAGTGTAAATAATGGACAACTTTGTAAAGGACATAAATGAAAAAATAATGTAATTAATATTACATTAAAAAATTAAAATGACATTTCTTTTTTATTTTTAGTTGATATTTATTATGGAATAGATAGAATAATATTTGTTGAATTACTTGTAATTAATTTTTCTCAAAAGTGATTTTTTTAACTTCAAATCATAAGGGATCAATTGTAAAAAAAACCAAAAAAAAAAAAGACTACAAGGGATCAAATGTAGTAAGCTTAAATAGTTATTTTTTGGTTGATGACACATGGGATATGATCATTTGGGATTCTTCTTCTTATGGATAGTATACTACCAAGTTTGTTAAACATTTTTCAAAAAATATTAAACATTTTCTATGGCTTGCTGATCATAACTCTCTTCCAACTAAACACTCTCATTGTTATAGACATTTGTTTATTGACTCTTCTTGTAACAAGTGTGGAGATCTTGAAGAAACAATTTTATATATGTTGAGGGATTATAACAAGACTAAGATCATATGGAACATTCTCTAATTTTCATTCTATGTAGATGACCCTCAGATAATTACTGCTACTTGGTTGCAAAGTCATTCTACTTGTTCGATAAGAGTTCATTTTGTTGCAACAACATGGAACATTTAGAGGTCCAGGAACATTGAAGTATTTCATGATATAGGTTGACAACATTGATTTATTATCAACCAAATTCAATGCTTGGTTAGTGACATTAACAAAATGGTTGTGGTTTCATCTTCTCGATATCAAGACTTCGTGATAGGTTGAAATCCACCTCCAAAGCACTTTGTTAAGCTAAATCCAGATGGTAGCTCCACAGGAAACCCATGTTTTTCTAGTTTTGAAGGAGTTTTCAAAGATTAATGTGGGAAAGAAAGATATGCAGACGCATGTGGTTTCACTTCAAATACAAATGCGAAACTATTAACAATTTTTCATGTTTTACCTATAGCTCAACAATGTGGTTTTCTAAATATAAAGTGTGAATCAGATTCACAGGTGACAATTTTTTCTTATCAAGAAGGGAGTTCCATTGACTCACCCTTATACTCCTTTAATTTCTAAAATTAGAGCCCTCTTTAGTTTACCATGGAGTTTTTCTTTCCATCATATTTATTGTGGAGGGAATAGAATAACATACTTTCTTGCTAAGATTAGAAATACCTTTTCTAACACTTTTGTCATGTGACCTTCTTATCTTATTTCATATGTCTTCGTTGTGGTTGGGGATATGACGGGACCTTGTATTAGGGGTAGTTAGTTAGTTTATTTTAATATTATGTGTTTTTGAGTCAAGTGTGCCTTCATGGCAACGATAATGACTCAAAGTCAAGGGTTCTCAATCTCTTGATGTCAAGCACAAGATTGGTGGATCGAACATGAGAAGAGAGGATTATTTATGCTTGGATCGATGTTTGACAACAATGGAGCGATGTCGGACATGAATTAGGTAGAAGCCCTCTACTTGATTGAGGTTGGGTGTGGGTTTTGCCATGCTAGATGTGAGAGAGTGGGAGACTCTCTGCCTTAGCCACGCTAGACGCGGGTTGCATGGTTTTAATGTGATATCTTAAGTTTCTCTATGATTGAAAGATAATGATTAAGTTGTATGATAAATATGGTATGATGATAACTCATTATGTTTCAAATTGATATTTTGTATAATGATATTTATGTTGCTAAGTTGTAAGTTGATAGATCATTAAGTTGTGAAGTTGTATGATACTATAGTTGATTAAGTTGTTAAGCATGTGATATAGATACATGCCTTTGTTAAGATGTATAAAAATTAGAGGAGAGTAAAAAATGTTTTAGAAATAAAATTATCTCATTGTGTGGATATAAGTTTTAGTGCTCTAAGAGCCTACTTGAAAACCTTTCAGTAAGTAAGCTAACTTTTGAATAATTGATTATTTTAAGTTGTCTCCTTTAATTTTACGTAGAATTCATTTATAGGCAAAGTTAAGACATATGTGTATAAAGTGACTAATCGAGTAAGGTACAAGATCGAAGGCTTAGTCTCTAACTGAGTTCTAGAAAGACGTAATATTTGGAGAATAGTTGGTGGATTAATTCCATAGGAGGCTTAGCATTGCAAGATAATGTCGTGGTAGACTCATACCCAAACTATTCTACCATGATAGGAATAGTAGACTTCCTAGTTTAGTTGGCAAAACCTGAGAAATCAAATTGAATTCTTTACCTAACACTTTGTGAGTGCCTAACTTTGACTATACTTGACTTGATTGTGATAGGTCAAACGTTGTGATTCGATAAAGTCTAGCCATTCAAATTTCCCACCTCTGTTGTAGGAGATCTCCGAAGTTTATATGCATGATAACTCATTAGTTGTTTAAAGTTGTTATGATGATATTGTTGTGGTGTTATAAGTTGTTGACATGTTGGTATAATGATGTGATTTATAAGTTAAGGTTGATACGTAGAGTTGTTTAAAGTTGTTATGATGATATTGTTGTGGTGTTATAAGTTGTTGACATGTTGGTATAATGATGTGATTTATAAGTTAAGGTTGATACGTAGAGTTGGGTTAAATGTTGATTAAGTTGTTTATGTTGTATTGGTGTAAACTAATGCTATGAGTGTATGCTGATTTCATTTCTCAAGCTTATCATTTTTCTTCCTTGTGGTTTGAACTACAATGATCATATGAGAGTTAGACAAGATTAACAAGTTTGCTTGGATGGTTGGCGGTGAATCATGTTAGTAATGACTCTTTTATTTGATGATACTTTAATGTAGCATGGTCGATGTATAGACACTTAATCAATGATTAAGAGTTATATTATATACAACTATGTAGTTGATGTATATTATAAATATGCACAAGGTATGTATGTAACCCCATAAGGGGATTTTTTATTTTAATTGTTCTATTTATTGTCCTATACATATATAAATTGCATAAATGATCAGGTAACTGTTACTTGATAACTTTAGGTTAGTTGATTATTATATTTTATTTCTATTATGTGGTGATTGAACTATAGTAAGGGTGACATCCATTACCCCACATGTCATAATACATTATAAATATAAGTTGAATAATCTCGATGTAATAAATGAACTCAAAGTCATACAAGTAGATAGAATCCATTTTAACATAAACTATACTTAGAGGAAATAACAAATTATAAAAGAAATAAAATCAACTATTCAATTTAAAATAACATGAATTACATACTAGCTAATTTTAACTAATTCCTAGTGTCACGTGTCCTATTAAAGCAAAATCTAACATTGAGATCTATGCCCCATCACCAACATCCTCAGCACCATGTTGATGATCACCTATAGAAATCACAAGGAAACAACACAAAAGAAAAATGTGTAAGAAACATCTCACTCTATCTCACGATGCAAGAATGCAAATCCACTAGTCAAACATAAACGACATATACAATACGATATAATATACATAGTTACACATTATTATCATACTTAATTCATTCATAACATAACAAACAACAACAAATAAGATTATAATGCATATACAATGGATATGAACTACATTTTATCATGCATATGATGTTAATAAAAACATCACACTTGTGCATTGTCGCTAGTAACACATTAGTGCAGTTTAGGAGTACATGTTGGGTCACACCCTCACGCATTCTCTCTAGAAAGACATCTACTAGGCTCTGGTCAGGATAACTAAGCCACGCACGATACATCCATGCTTATGAGGACAGGCCTAGGACTTCCAAATCGAGTTATCTTAAAGGTTGGTTCCCAAGCTTTTACCCAAGGGACCTTCCTTAGCGGTGTATTTCATATCATACCCTTACAAAAATTTTTTTATATATATGATGTATGTCAAACAAACTCTATACATTTCATTCACATAGTTCCATAATCTCACATTTAACATTCCCCTTATACTACATTACTCCTCATACATATTCATATATTCATATATCGATATCAATTCATATCACATTAACATCATAATATAGAATCACAACATGGAATTCAATAGAAACACAACATGAGATTCGTAGGCAGGACAATGCTTAGTGACACATGCCCTACGCTCACCATGAGTCCTTTAGAGGACCACACTAGTCTCTATCTAAATCATGCCTAGCATGACAAAGTCCACGCAGTGAGAACACCACCAAGAAGTGTCCACATTTGACAAGAGACAGCTCACGACCGATAAAAGCGTCAGCTCACGCCCGACAGAAGCGTCCTAGGGAACCCCTAAAGCCTCTATACCCAACAAGGTTCATCCCACGCCCGACATGAGAGGCCTCAAGAGAAACTTTTGCTCTCGGCCTCAATAATGGTTGACGCACCCTATGTTGCACTCGATGACATTAAAAATCACACATCTACATAATTATGAATTATTAAACACGCACCTCAAATTTGATATTCACATTTCAATCAATAAAAACACTCCCAAATTAAGTAACAAGCATTCTAAACAACACAATACACACATATAACTACATATCCAATCAATCTCTTCATACAATCACCAATGCATTCCCATGGAGTTTCCTAAAATCCCATAGGGATCTCAAACCATATAATTACAACCTCAAAACATGCAATTGATCATCCATTCAAACAATTCATGTAATTAATTATGAGTAAGAAAAACAAGGAGCAAAATAGAAACATATTAGGAAAATCGCTCATACTTAGGCATACATTATACATAGGATTGGGAACTAATTCCACTATCTGACATACAAACCCACACCTAAGGTTTCTCATTTTCCCTTATCTAGATAAGTTCTAAACAACATGTACAAGACTCCGAGTGATTTCTTTCATGCTTCTGTTCTCTGAGTTTTGAAATGCGTATGTGAAAATAGAGAAGCAAGAAGATTTGATTACAAAACTGCTCTTTAAAAGAAATAATTAATCTCCCTTTAACTCTCTAATTAAAAGAATTAAATATAGTCACAAGTTCTCTTGCCCTCAATTAATATAATATTATAACAATTTTAATAAAATACCATATATTATACTCTAAAATATATTAAATAATTCAAATAAATATTTAAAAGTCCTTATTAATTAAACAAAAATACTAAAATTATTAATAAAATACTTATATTATATTTTATAAAAAATAAAGTGTTATAGTAAGTACAGTGACATTTTCTCTTCTCTTTTATTGTTTCTTTTTCCCACCAATAAAAACAATAATGATTTTAAATGCAAGTGCATTAAATTAAATATTATAATTCAAAATTTACAATCTTTCGTTCTCCAATGGTTAGGGAAATGAAAATTCTTCCTTCACTTGCTGTTGTTCAAGGTTCAAATGCCATGGAGTAAAAAAACTTTTTGTTGACACTTTGGGTAGGACTTAAAGAATTTTTTTAATAGTTTTTCTAAAAATACTTTTAAAAGAAAGATAAAAAAGAAATATATATTTTTTATAAGTTAAAATTAATTTATGCACAAATTAATTTATAGAAATCATATAAAATTACAAATAAATTAATATATAAATTAAATTTAACTTATAAAAAAATTCAATTTTTTTAAAATTTATTCAAATAAATTCTTAATATTAGTTCAAGAAACTCAAATTTTCCTTGTCCTTGTGGACAGGAAAACCGTTATCTCTTTTCTTCTTAGAGACATAGGTAGAAAGCTTCTTCTTCCCTGTAGATTCCATTTTTCTACCAAGAGGGTGTTGTGAACAAGACATTTTGTCAAGAAACAGGAGATGGGTTAGGAAAATAAAGAATAAAATAGATTGCTTCTTGAAGGAGAATAGAGTGTTGAGAATAATTCATAATAAATACATATTTTTATATAAAATATATTATAACTAAATTTTATAATAAATAAATATTTTAATGTAAGTTATATTTATATTTTTATAATAAATGATTTATATTGTTATATAAAAATATTTTAATTTCTTCTAAAAATACTGATATTTAATTTAAAAATAAAAATAATAAATTATAAGAGATAAATGATTAAGAAAAATTCTGAAAAATACTTTTGTTGAAAAATAAATTCTAAAAGTCTTCTTGTTAAGAAAATTTCTTTAGTTTATATACAGAAATGATTATAGATAGTTTTAATATTAAAATTCAAAAAATGATAATTTTTTACCAGTAGATAAAAACAATACATTATTAAAAATAAGAAACTATTGGAAAATGTCTTAAATTATTTTTTTGAAAAATGATTTTCGACGAGAGCTATAACTATTTTAATTTAAAGATCAATTTAAAAAAAAAAAAATATTTTCAAAAACAAATAAGAGTTATTTTTTATTATTTATTTAAGAAAAAGACATAGAAAAAAAATATTAAAAAAAGGGACATTATATAATTTTTGAAGCAATAAAAGGTAAAATTAAAAAATAGCCAAAACTCACAAATAAATTGCTTCTTCAATGTGAAGGCAACGTGGATTCTTGATTATTCCTTCCAGACCACAAGTTAAGCACAGTAGAAAGATAGAAAAAAAGATATTTTTTTTCTATGTTCTTCCACGTGATAACTGACGGATTGTAGAACATGTCTCTGTGACACTTTAGTCTATAGTTTCACATTATTGCGCTTCATAGTTTGATTCAAGAGACCCATCACGCAATCCATAATCATACCAAGTTTTCTTCTCATGGCTGCAAGTTCATGTTCCTATGCATTCTCCTATGACGTGTTCCTCAGTTTTAGAGGTTCAGACACACGCCATGGTTTTGTTGGTAATCTCTACAAAGCTCTTCATGACAAGGGAATCCACACTTTCATTGATGATGAGAAGCTTCAAGGAGGAGAGGAAATAACACCAACCCTTATGAGGGCAATTGAGGAGTCTAGGATTGCCATCACTGTGCTCTCTCACAACTATGCTTCTTCCTCATTTTGCTTGGATGAACTTGCCAGCATCATTGATTGTGTCGAGAGGAAAGGATTGTTAGTTTTGCCGGTTTTCTATAACTTGGATCCTTCTGATGTGAGGCACCAGAAAGGTAGTTATGGAGAAGCTTTGGCTAAACATGAGGAAAGGTTCAAAGCCAAGGAGAGGTTGGAGAAATGGAAGATGGCTTTACATCAAGTGGCTAACTTGTCTGGCTATCATTTCAAACAAGGGTACCCCCACCTTACCAATCTTTTACTTTATAGTTTCTCTTTGATTAAGTTTCACTTGTCTGATGATTTAGTGTTAAAATTTTGAAAGAAAATAAATGTTTTTTTTATCCTTGACAGTATCAAGACATGGATACAAGGCTTTTAATTTGGGTTTAATTTCTTTGTTCTATCGGTATAAATTTATGCTGCATGTCAACTGATAAAAATCATTCTTCGATGAATTTTTTAAATAATTATTATAAAAATCAACAAACTTACTAACACTCTCATTTGTAATTGAATTATAGTGTAAATGTCAATGAATAGACTATTTCCTCTTTAATTTAACTTCATTAAAACTTTTCATTTGAAACAGAAATGGATATGAATATGAGTTTATCGGGAGGATTGTGGAGTTGGTTTCTAGCAAGATTAACCGTGCTCTTTTACATGTTGCGGAGTACCCGGTTGGACTAGAGTCACAAATGCTTGAAGTAATGAAACTTTTAGATGTTGGAACTGATGATGGTGTCCACGTGATAGGGATCCACGGAATTGGTGGAATAGGGAAAACAACACTTGCTGTAGCAATTTATAATTTGGTTGCTAACCATTTTGATGGTTTGTGTTTTCTTGAAAACGTGAGAGAAAATTCAGAAAAACATGGATTGCAACATCTTCAAAGCATCGTTCTTTCTGAATTGGTTGGAGAAAAGCAAATGAACATAGCAAGCGTAAAACATGGAGTTTCAATGATACAACATAGGCTTCAACAAAAGAAAGTTCTCTTGATTGTAGATGATGTTGACAAGCATGAACAATTACGGGCTGTTGTTGGAAAACCTGATTGGTTTGGTCCTGGCAGCAGAATCATCGTCACAACTCGAGACGAACAATTGTTAGCATCTCATGAGGTTAAAAGAACTTATGAGGTCAAGGAATTGAACAAGAACGATGCTCTTCAATTGCTTACATGGAAAGCTTTTAAAACAGAAAAAGTTGATCCCAGTTATGTGGAGGTCTTGAACCATGTAGTAACTTATGCTGCTGGCCTTCCATTGGCTTTGGAAGTAATAGGTTCCAACTTGTTTGGAAAAAATATACAAGAATGGAAATCTGCCATCAATCAATACGAAAGAGTTCCTAATAACCAAATCTTAAAGATACTTAAAGTAAGTTTTGATGCTTTGGAGGAAGAAGAGAAGAGTGTTTTTCTTGATATTGCTTGTTGCTTCAAAGGATATGAACTAGAAGAGGTGGAAGATATACTTCATATTCATCATGGTGACTGCATGAAATATCATATAAAGGTGTTGGTTGATAAATCTCTCTTAAAGCTTAGTAGGCATGGTACTATGGTGACATTGCATGACTTGTTAGAGAACATGGGTAAAGAAATTGTACGACAGGAGTCACCAAAAGATCCGGGGAAGCGCAGTAGATTATGGTTCCACGAGGATATAATTCAAGTTTTAGAAGACAACACAGTGAGTGAGACTCATTATTGTTTTGGATTTTTATCTTGATTTATCTCTTTTGACAATTATATGCTCATGTGAGTCATGTCATAGTAATTTGTTTTTCCCTTTATAATAAGCGAGTTTCTCTTAATATGTGTATTAAAATCTTGCATGCATATACACTCTGTACCAATCAGAAATCATTCCATAAATTTTAAAGTAATTATCGCAAAACTCAACAAACTTATCATATTTACATTGTCAATGTGTTCTAATTAAATTCTTTGTTGTTGATTTATGCTTTTTGCGTTAACAGGGAACCAGTGAAATTGAAATCATACATCTGGACTGCCCCTTACTTGACAATGAAGAAATAATAGAATGGAATAGAAAGGCCTTCAAGAAGATGAAAAACCTCAAGACATTGATTATTAAAAATGGTCATTTTTTCAATGGTCCCAAATATCTTCCAAATAGTTTAAGAGTATTGGAATGGTGGAGATATCCTTCACATGATTTACCATCTGATTTTCGTCCAAAGAAACTTGCCACATGCAAGTTACCCGAAAGTTGCTTTACATCACTTGAGTTGGTTGGCTTGTTGAAGGCAAGTTAAATGAGTTCTCTTTCCTCACCTTATAAATTAAGTCAATGACATTAAAATCATTCATTTGATTCTTATTTCTTTGATTTTCCTTTCTTTTTTGCAGAAGTTCATGAGTATGAGAATTTTGAATTTGGACAAGTCCAAGTGTTTAACACAGATACCTGATGTATCTGGTCTCCCTAATTTAGAAAAACTTTCATTTCAACATTGTCAGAGTTTAACTACAATTCACGGTTCAGTTGGGTTTCTATATAAACTTAAAACATTAAGTGCTTTTGGTTGCACTAAGCTTATGAGTTTTCCGCCAATCAAGTTAACCTCTCTTGAAAAACTCAATCTCTCACGTTGTTGCAGTCTTGAGAGTTTTCCAGAAATATTAGGGAAGATGGAAAACTTGAGGGGACTTCAGTTGGAGTACACTGCCATAAAAGAATTGCCATCTTCAATTCATAATCTTAGTCGGCTTCAAGAATTACAACTGGCTAACTGTGGAGTTGTTCAGTTACCAAGTAGCATTGTCATGATGCCAGAATTGACTGATATTATTGCTTGGAAATGGAAAGGGTGGCAATGGCTAAAACAAGAAGTGGGTGAAGAAAAAGTCGGATCAATAGTTTCTTCAAAGGTAGAATTGCTTTGGGCCTCAGATTGCAACCTGTATGATGATTTTTTTTCAATAGGTTTCACACAGTTTGCTCATGTGAAAGATTTAGACCTGTCTAAGAATAACTTCACAATCCTTCCTAAATGCATCAAAGAATTTCAGTTTTTAAGGAAGCTTAATGTTAATGATTGCCGGCATCTTCAGGAAATTAGAGGGATTCCTCCAAACTTAAAACATTTCTTAGCAACAAAATGTGAATCCTTGACTGCCTCAAGTACAAGCATGTTCCTAAATCAGGTTTTGTCTTGTTTTTAATGTACTTGATTTAGAGTTTGTTTTGGTAAACTTCTCCATAAACACTTCTAGAAGAGAAAAATAGAAAGGAAAAATAAAATAAAGTTCTCTATAAACTAAAATTGGCTTATGCATAAGTTAATTTGTAAAAATTCTTTTCTATTAGTTTCTCCAAAATCTTACTTTCAACTGATGCATAAGCTAGTTTTAGCTTGTGGAGAAGCTTATTTTAGTTTTCCTTCTTATTTTTTTTTTTCTAGAAGTGTTTCTGAAGAAGTTGATCCAAACAAACCCTTAATAATATATAGTATATTCAATGTTGGTAAACTTATGAAATTCTCTATGACTAGCAGGAACTGCATGAGGCTGGAGAAACTCAGTTTTATTTACCAGGAGAAAGGATTCCAGAGTGGTTTGATCACCAAAGCAAGGGACCTTCAATTTCTTTCTGGTTTCGTAACAAGTTCCCTGACAAAGTTCTTTGTCTTGTTATTGGACCTATGGATGATGAATCTGGAATGTTTAGGCCTATGGTGATCATCAATGGAAATAAAAGTTTCCCTGGTAGTGGCTATTTCATGATCCACATGGATCATACATATATTTTTGATCTTAAAAGGATAGAATGTGAAGATAGTTTATATGAAGTACCTTTAGAAAATGAATGGAACCATGCAGAGGTTACAATTGTTGGTTTGGAAGAGACCTCAATAGTTAAAGAATGCGGAATCCATGTATTCAAACAGGAAAGTAGCATGGAAGATATTCGATTTTCTGATCCTTATGGCAAGAGAAAATTAGAGGATGATCACAATAGTTTGGAAATACAAAACCTTCAGTTGGTGAAAAAGCATAGGTTTGTGGACATGGATGTTTCATAGACACAATATGTGCAACAACAACAATGTATGGTTTTATGGTCACGTCATTTGAGTTGGCTATGAAGCTATTTTCATTTTTTCTTAATCAATCAATAAAGTTATGGTATGATAATATGGACTTGGAATCAAATTTTAATGGTGTCAAAACAGATAAGGGGCACCATTAAGGTAAATTATCTTCTTGTATGCTATATCAGTGACTGATTTTAATTTCCCTTTTTATTTGATTTATATGAATGGAACAAAATAAAAGATTTGAGATATGGAATTCTAGTTTCTTTGACAGTGTGACCTCAGTGTTAAGCCTTATATACTTATGACCATAAACATCAGATTGGCTGATACTCTCTTAAATAAAAATTGAATTTCCTAATTCATGTCTAGAGCTTGTTGAATTTGGAATTAAAATAATTATTTATTAAACCATTTAGCTATTATTCATATCAGGAACACGAAATTTATCTTGGTCCTTGGTGAACTTGTATATGTGCTCTGTTACACTTGGATGGTTGCTGCATGAAGTGATAAACAGGTAAACCACGAGTTTTAATTTTGCATGTATGGTAAAATCTCCTAAAAGTAGTGGAAGTAATATACAGAATCTCAGGATTTAATAGCCAATCAAGTTCAAGATATAAAAGTTCTAAGGCATGAAGTGGAGATTGTCATTCAATTTGGTACTTTGAGTAACAAGTTGAATTATGTGTAGATTCTTAATACAAAGAAAACAAGACTAATTTTTCAATAAAAAATTTAGAAAATTATTAAAAATAGTATTATTGTTCTTACTTTTGTGCTTTTTCTTCTTGTGTAACTATATCTTCTTTTTTTCCTGAAGATATGATTAATGAAGACCCCTATACTTCAAATTCAATGGCAGAACACTCACTAAAGTACATCTCATTTGTTTTATTTGCATTTGTTCTGTGTGCCAAAGGAGGGTGATATCTATTATGATGATTGAGATAGGTGAGAACTTTCACTATAGCTATCAGTGCATGTATTTATCACAAAACAATTGCTATCTTAACTCTTAAGAAGTAAGAACCATTATAACTGTTGTCTCTGTTAATCTATTCTATGTAAAGCCAGCTTCTTGATGATCTCTGGCATCCTTGCTCATACACATACCGAATATAGTTTGTGATTTTGCTAAATGTTTTGAGGGAGAAAAACTAGTGATGTATGTTAGTTGCATGAAGGGAGTTTTTTTATTTTATTATTTTTTTTATTTTTATTTTTTATTGCTACTTTCTTTTAACTGCATATGGAAATTCAGAGATTATGGTTTCAGGAATCATAAATCTGGTTTTATGAAATTAACATAGTATCCAAGGAGGGTTATTAGCTGTAGTTTCTTGTTCAAGAAGATTAATTTTCATTTTGAGCTTTTGGATTAGTTTAATTACCTTTTTTTGGAAGAAGCAAATGAGCTAATGATGCACAATTGTGTCCTTGAATGAAAATTCAGTGTGTTACATATTGTTTTAACTTCTGAAGAGTCTTGTTTGTAAATAAAGTATGATATTCAGAAGCATGATTTTTGAGACAAATCATATGTACCTTTATTATTATTATTATTATGACAATGCACAAAGTTTAAACTTTAATTGGAGAAGTGGCCAATACTAAATTCTATTACTTGAGTTGTTATCTTAGAATTTCCAAGAGGCCGTCATTATGTTGAAGAAGCAAATGATTTGAAAAAAGCAAAGAAGCTAATGATGCAAAGTTTATAATCACAAACATGCATGAAATCTGTATCTCAAGTAATTAAATAACCAACAAATTAATCCTTATTTTTTTGTTAATTGAATAGTGGGACATTTATGTTTAGATTAGCCCTGTCGGCAGATAAAACTACAAACACCTTCCACTTCATTGTTTCAAACATCATTACACTTTTTCTTTACATCTCTTTTGTTGTACATGTTTTTATCTTACTTTTTTCTCTCTCATCACATATGTCATTCTTTCTTTCCTTTTTTTTCTTCTATTTTTCTCTTTCATTCATCCTGTCTACTCTCAAATAGGATGAACACATCACCCATTTTCCTAACTTTTTCTATAACCATCTCCATAATATTATAATATTATAAAGAAGAAAATTATATTATGTTGAGAGTGGAGTTTGAGTAATACAAATAATATTTTATATTTGAATTCTATTATTGTCAGTAGAAATTTTTTTTCCCTTAACTAGAGTTCTTAATCAGTATCTTTAAAAACATTGATTAAAAATATTAAATATTAATTAAAAATATTAGATAACATTCTACTAAGTGTATGTATTTTTTTTTTGTTTTTGAGAAAAGTGCAATCTTAACTAGCATGTTTTCTCTACTTTCATGTTTTAGTGTATGTATCATTTTTTTTTATTTTTGAGAAAAGTGCAATCTTAACTAGCATGTTTTCTCTACTTTCATGTTTTAGAATGTGTGTAAATGAAAAATAACACACACTCTAAATAATTTTTCTTTCAAATAAGTGTTCCAAGAATTTTAATTATTTTCCATATACTTTTCTTTTTTACTTATTTATTTATTTATTAAGAGCTAACATGTACTTTTTATGAAATAATATGATTTAGTCTCATTATAAGATAACATTTTTCTTTTAGTATTTAACATAATTATATATTTAAAAATTCAAACTCAACATTACTTTATTAAGTCATAACAAAGTTGAGTATATTAGTTTTGTTTGCACTTGTTACATCTGCCAATAAGGAATTGTTACAACACCAATGCCATGCATGTGATATTGTAAACATGATAATAAGTTAATAACTGCCTGCCATTGTTCATACAATAAAGGGAGAAAAAGATGATAACAAATCATGAAAAGCTCAACATAGATGACAAACAGCAACAGTATTAGACACTTCATTTAAAAGCATGAAGAGGAGCCCACACACTATCTCTGAAAGGCATCCTCAATACAAAGTATTACTAAGAGGCCAAAATGGATATGTATTTGATTAATCAAGGCATAGAGAGGACTAAGGAAATTAATTATATTATATGATATGATATGGGAAATAATTAAATTTAAGGGTATGTTTGTTAATATGATGAAGAAGGTTAATTAAGGGCATTTGGGGCCTCCTTCCTTGGTCTTCCAGTTGTTGTAGCAAGGGCACACAGCTTTATTCCCATAATACCCCGGAGGCACACACAGGCATTTTCTACAGCACTTCTGGCAGAAAAACATGCAGGGCTTGTGGTACTGGGTCCTGCTGCACCTCCTCGTGCATTGGGAAGGGCATTCTGGTCATATCACACATCACAACAATTAAAGAGAAAGAAAGAAAATTCAACAAAGTTAATTTAAGTCAAAGGCTCGAATCCAATGATGCTGCTTTTACGGTAACATATTTGACCACAGTCAAAGTGAAAACACCAAGTTTGGAAATGACATACTTTGAAAAAGGGCTCAAGGTATTTCTTGTTATTTGAAAAATACAAACAAAAGTAGTTTTTATTATTATTATTAAGAACCAGTAAGAAGAAAACACAGACACAAATGTTTAAATTATAGGTATAATAATTAAGATGTGCAATTAAATTAATCTCAATTTGGTTATAGAGATGTAGAAGTCAAGAAATAACGTAAACCTCACTACTTTTTCTTTAAAATTCTCATTCATAGTGTGATAAATTTCAAAATGAATTTTAACCACTGAATTAAAAATGTAATAATGATAGTGCTGGTAATTTTTTTTTTAAATAAGCAATATATACATCAACAATTATATATGATAGCTAGTTTTGTTGATTTTTTATGATAATATTTTTTAAAATTACATCAAGCATATAGTTTTAATTGGTTGATAACATAATTTTTTTTTATCGAAGACAGTGCAATACTAGTGTATGTCTCTTACCCCTTTTTTTATAGAAAAAAAATAACAACAGCGTCTATTATATGGGGAAGTTGTGAAATAGTTCCATTTTTGTTTTGTTGCTACAAATTTTCATGTTCAAAGTTGGAGAGATCTCCAGGTTGTTTTTACCACAAATGACAAGGAGAAGAAAACAACCACCAAAATAATGAATGGTATAGAAAAAACTTCACTTACGGTAGCTCCTGAGACTGCCAGGTCCAAATTTTTTCTGGAGAAACACACAATCATAAGTTAGCAAAATAGCATTCACCCTTCATAAAGAAAATTAAAGTTCCAAAATCCCATCATAGTTCTTTGGTCTAAACCCCCACATAGAGATCTAGAGAAAGGAACAAGTGAAGATGTTATATGTACCTTGTCATTGTAGTGGTGGCCTCCATGTCCATGAGATGCCATAATCTGAAAACCAAACCATAAAAATTAATGTGACAACCTTAAGCTTTCACAATTAACCTCAACAAATTCAGACCATAATAAGTCTGTTTAGATATACAAGTTTTGAGAGTAGATCTCGAAAATTCGTCTAAACTCTATATTTAAAAGTGTGTACTTTATGTATGTGCGTGTAATTGTGCATGCGTGTTTCTACTTAAAGACCAACCATTGTTTGAAGCATGGAAATGGCAATGAGGGCCAGGATCAAAACAACTAGTAGCCTAGGCACAGCCATTGTTGTTGCAAGCAGACACAAACCCCTTCAAAAGAACCACTGTAGATATCAAAGAAAGGAGAAGGGGGTGGGTGGTGACATAAAGAGAATGTGGGGTCATTTATAGAAGAAGGTTGATGGGGTTGGAATCCCCACCTTAATTAGCACAAGATTTATTATCGAGTGTGAACACTACTGGAAGAGACTTTTAGAGTATCTGAATATAAAAAGTGATACCAAGAACAGGCATATGACCCATGTGTGTATGCATTAATGATAGTATTCAAATCGAGTGATATTTTCTGTTTTTCTTAGACATGAAGTTTGTTGAGAAAAAAAACTCTTAAGCACAATAATAATTGAAAATACATTAAAAATAATACTATAAATAAATAAAATTAAGCAAAATTTATTTAATGTGGTTTAGTCCTTATTCATAAGCTTACAAGAATGTTTATTAACTCAAAATATATTTTATATATATATATATATATAGTTGAAAATCTTTTCTTCAAATTTTGTGGATGAAACTTGAAAACCTTTTTTCACAAGTTTTGTTTATAGATGAAATTTGAAAAATCTTTTCCCATAAATTTTATGGGTAAACTTGAAAATCCATTCCTCATAAGTTTTATGGAAGAACTTGGAAACTCCTTTCTCACAAATTTTGTGGATGAAACTTAGGAACCTTCAACATAAGTTTTCTAACATAATTCAGCAAACCCTCATTCACAAGTTTTTTATGAAACTCGGCAAACTCCCCTTCATATTACTTTTTCATTTATGGTGGTGACTCTTTTTATATATCACATGATTTTTCTCATCTAAAGAACATCTATTTATTGACTTAACATCCTAATCTTTAAAAAGGAACAAACCTTTAAAATAAATGTAATATTTTTAATTCTAAACAATATCATAAAGATATATATATCTCAAAGATAAATAAAAAATTTGAATTGTATTCCCAACAAGGTTATACTTGAACTATATCACTTTACTCTTTATAATGAATCTATCTAGTGAAAAAGAGTTATACCTTTTCGTTATGGAAAATAATAATAATCAAGTGATATTTATTTTATTTATTTATGAAAATCAGTCTCTTATATTTATTATTTTTATATAAACATATCTTGATTAAAATTATTTTCTTAATTCAGTAAATAATGTAACACTATGAAATTTTATTAGTAGTTGATGATTTTATTAATTTAATTATTGATGTGTTTAGTCATTAGAGACCTCAGAGTTGTCGTGTAGAGTTTTCTAAAGGATATCCTCTTCTTCCTCCTCCTCCTCTTCCTCCTCCTCTTTCTTCTTCTTCTCCCTCAATGACGTCAAACACTAGAAGAATGTCATCAAGCATAGATCACTAAATGAAAACTTGTTTATTTGGTGAAGTGTTAGATTGAATTACTCACATGATTTATGTTATTGTATGATTCTGGTTCATTATGCATTGATCCAAGATGATGTATAATGATGTTTAAGTTACTTAAGTTGTAAGTTAATTATGAATGAAAGTTGAATTGGAGTAGAGTGGTATGTTGATAAGATGAGTTGTATATTGTTGAAAGTAGTTATGTTGTGAATGCTCGATGCATATGAAGTTGAATTGTATTGATTGACTTAGGATTAGAGAAGATGTGTTATTTTTAAAAAAGATGAATATCCCATTGTGAAGATATGGTATTGTGGTGCTCTGAGAGCCTAGTTGTTGAAAAATTCTTCTTAAGTATAATTGTCTCTTGAAGTCAAGTGTTAAGTCTCTTCTAGGTCGCTAGTTGATATTGTATATTAGCAAGGTCAAGCCATACTGGTTTATGAGTGACCAATTGAGTAAGGTGCAAGGTTGGGGTCCAAAATCCCTAATTATTGGAAAGGGTATAGTATTTGGAGGGTGGTTGATGGACTAATTCCATATAGGTTTAGTTATGCATGTTAAAGTCATGGTAGGCTCACATCCAAGTTGTCATATCCCAAACAAGAATATTGAACTTTAATCAAAGTGACAAGATTTGAGAAATCATGTTGTGTTGTGGATTGATATTCAAATTTGTGGTTGATCTAGCAAGCCCAAAAAGATTACATTGTTAAGTTGGTTTGATAGGGTCAAGTCACTTAGACTAACCATCTATGTTGTAAGAGATCTTTTAGTTGAAATATGTGACAACTCATCATGTTTTTATGTTGATATGTTGTCAAGTTGATTTGTGTTGAAAGTTGATATTGTTGATACAGTATGATATTTACATTGTTATGTTGTGAAGATGTTTAGTTGCCGAGTTGATGTTGAATTATGTTGGTAAACTATGTTGTAAGTTGAGAAGCTACCTTGTTGTAAATTCATACATGTGTGTAAATATGTAGGTAGTTATTTAAGGTGTTGATAAGAGTGTATTGTTGAAGTTATTATATAGTAAGTTCACTACTTCTATGCTGTGTTTATTCTTTTGAATTCAAGCCTACTCTTGCATTTCCTTGTGGTTGGACTATGATAATCATATTTAGCATGAGAGTAAGGCAAAAATAAGTTGGAGTATGAGTACGTTTTAAGAGTCATGTTGAAAGATCGTGGTGTGGCTTGGGCTACACTAACGTAACTTATAGATAATAGTTGTTTAATCAATAACTCAGGATTTATGTTTTTAGTTTGGATTATTGTATATAAAGGTTCCTCAATGGAATTACACAACACACACATATTGTTGAATGTATATTCCAAAATTGTTTACGTGATAATCCTAAGTAATTAGAGTGATGTTTTCTGTTACTTAATTATTGAACTGTAAAGAGTAAAAACTTATTAAGTTATTACAAATAATTACTAGATAAGAGCCTTAATAATATTAGAGATAATTATATATATATATATATATATATATATATATATATGAGGAGGGTTCAAACGACATTGGTATAACTTTTACTAAGTGCTACACCGCTCAATAACTTTATATTAAATGTGAATTTTATAAATTCAACCGTTAGATTGAAAGTTCATATCAATTTATATGTGTATGTCAAATTTTATTAAAATTGAACAACAACTTGAGGGTAATCAAAGTGTTCATATTTTAGTATATTTTAAAATAAATATATTACGTCAATTTTGTTTTATAAGAATGACGTATCTAATCATCTTGGATTACTATAAAATTTTGTATATATGATCTAAGAGTAAAGAACTTTCAATCTAACGGCTATATTTATAAAATTCACATTTAATATAAAGTTATTGAGCAGTGTAACACTTAATAAAAGTTATACCGGTATCGTTTGAACCCTCCTCTCTCTCTCTCTCTCTCTATATATATATATATATATAAATTTAAGATATATTTTTTGAATACTTATAATATTAACATAAAATATCCATCATCACAAATACTAAAATTTAAGATTTTTTTTTTGGGTAAAGATTATAAAGATGTAAACAATGAAAATTAAACATAGGTTCTCATATTTCTAACTACTCGGATCCCTCCCTACCTAATTACTAGACTAATTTAATATTAGGAAAAAGATTAACTAATGTAATATTAGGAAAAAAAATGGAATGAATTGTACATATGAAATGTTGTCGTACTGTCCACAATATACGGATTAGAAGTTGTACTATTTAGCTTCTTCTTAAATGTGAAGTTACTTTTAATTGTAGATAATTGCAAATTGCTGCCATTATTAACATTTAAAATATACTACCAAGTGGGAAAAAACAAAAAGGGCAGCGGTTGGTTAATTAACTTGCGTATGTTGGGATCATATATATAATACTCCCTCCGTTTTTTTTCATAGTTGTTTTGTCAGAGTGTTATTTTTTTTTATTGTCATATTACTAAAATCAATGAGTTATTAATTTTTTTCTTCCATTTTTACCTTTGATAATTAATACATGTTTCCTGAACAATGTGTATATTTATTTTTAATGTTTACCTAATTTTTCTCCAACTACTCATATAGAGTTGATGTGCATTTATAAAAGCAATATGTTCCCAACAAAATACTATAAAAAAACAAAAAAAGGGACAATTATTTAATGGAGTAGTTCAACAGTCTAAAAAATGCAAAAAAAAAAATAAAAGGTAAAATAGGAAAGTAAGTAATAAATATTTTTGAAAACTAAAATATCAATGATTTTCTTAAGTCCCGTGCAAAACCTTAAACGACTATGAAAAAAAAAACGGAAGGAGTATAATGTTATAGATAACAAAATAACTACCACAGCTGCCTAGCTACTACTTACAACGTTATTAAATACTTTGCTAGTCACATGGGAAAATGGTGATAATTGAAGTATTAGATGGGGACTTGAATAATGAATGACGTTATTCACACTTTAGCATATTTATTGATATTCACATTGTTTTGTTTTATATTTTATTTCAAGTTTATTCTTATTCAAGTTAATTTTTGTTTTAGAAAAAAAGTAAAAATTGATTATCTTAACGAATACTTAAATATGTTTTTAATTTTTTAAATTTAGAATAAATTTGATTTTATTCTCTCAAATTTAAAATTATTTTTTAATCTTTTTAATTTTCAAAAAAATTATTTTAACCCATTAAATTATTAATAACATATTTGAATCTAATAAATTAAAATAATTATACAACATTGCTTGTATTTAATGTTATATTTTTATTAATAGAGATATTAATAGATAGATTTCATCTTATATTTGATAAACTTTTTAAAAAAAAATTGAGTTTAATAATTAAAATAAAAGTTTATGAAATTATAAGAATAATTTTAAATTAAAAAACTAAAAATAAATTTATCTTAAAAAATCAAAATAAAAAAACAAACATCAAATAAAATGAACACAAATTATCATTTTGTTTTACTTTTAGTTTTGAATGATAAAGAAAATGGAGCCAAAGATACTCATAGGTTCAAGAAGTTGACATAGCTGGGCATGATTATGCTGAACGTGTACCCCACATCATTTATAATTTATTGTAGATCTTACCCTGCCTTCAACCTTTTGCACCGTATTCGAATATTTGCTACTATTTTGATGTGAAAGAAATAAGAGAACATAGATTTGGAAAACAAATGATCCACGTATGTTCTGACTTTAGTTAAATTACTTTACATTTTCTTTATGATAATAAAAATGGGCAAGGATC